TTATTCCTGACAAAGAATATCACCAACTTTCCAATCCCCTTCTATACTCAGGCCATGAATCCACTCTACAAGGGCAGCCCCACAGTAATCAAAAACCTCAATACACTAATTTTGAAACTTTTTTTAAAAGAAACAAAGGAGTGCTTACACTCCCAATTGAGCTGATGTGCTGGCACATGCTTTAAACTATGATAATTAGGTTTCCTGATCAATTCAGAATTGGGACAAGGTAGATATTTACACAACTCACAGTGAACTCAGTGACCTCCTGTCTGTTACAGAGCAACCTGCTTGACGAGAGTGTGGATTGGAGAATCAATCATGAATGTCACAGTCACTGCTACATATACTGCTCCAGATTTACTAGACATTAGGATCAATCTAAGCAATGTCTAGAGCACCGTGGAGCAGGCAACCTGACCTTCCACTCCCTCGCTGCCCAGTACACTCCAATCCCATAGCATGGCCTTCCAAAGCTTACGTTTATAATTCTATGCTGGTGAGGGAATTTTCTTCAAATTAAAATTGCAGCTTTCACTAAAGTACGACTAAAAACAGTGAAATGGGTGCATTTCAAGATGTGAATCTTTAGATCAGGTGGCAACACACATCTAATTTCCCATGTTCTGACAAACTTCTCATTTCTAATGGCTAGCAGCCACAAGTACTGTGGCTTCTCCAGTGAGACACTGTAAAAGAGCTCAGAGGTACTTCATCATTTCCGCTCATCATGCTGAAGATGCATAAGGAGTTTATTCATATTAATAGTGATTACCAGTCGCATTAGTCAAAATCAAATTAGAACGGAATTGCTGCTGAGCCTGCTATCTGATTCTGTGTCCAAACAACTTCCTCAATGCCACATCCAAAAGAATTCTTAATAGAAAATGAATAATAAAGATTAGAGAGCTACAGGAATGTGAGTTGCGACATAACATCTGATTTTGGAGTTGACATTCAAGAATTGCTCAAAAGGTGAAGATGATAGCATCTACTGCATCACTTTTATTTGGCATTATAGTCATTTTTTTCATAAAAGAAACCTCTTGAACATGACCACAATAAGGGAGACTCTGAACTTTCAGAGATTATGTCAAAGAACAAAGAACAATACAGCTCAGGAACAGACCCTTCAGCCCTCCAAGCCTGCGCCGCCACATTTTGCCCTTTCATACTAAAACTGTCTTCACTTACAGGATCCATATCCATCTACTTCCTTCCTAGTCATGTATTCAACTAAGTGCTTCTTGAATGCTGCTCGTGTCTGCTTCCACCACCTCTTCTGGTAATGCATTCCAGGCACTCACCACTCTGAAAAACTTGCCTTGCAGGTCTCTTTTAAACTTGTCCCCATCGCACCTTGAACCCGTGTCCCCTAGTAATTGACCACTCCAACCCCCACCCTGGGAAAAAGTCCTATACTTTCACACTGGCTGCATGTCTGAGTCAGTAGTTTCACTGCGTGGTATGACACAGATGCAAGGCTATGTCTTTCATACTACAAAACAGGTGCATGAAAATCCACTTCCACTGCTCATACTTTTAAGTTTTTATGCTGTTCTGCAGTTAGCAGGTTTCACTTTGATCTTTTCATGTGGATCAACACTGTGTCCGTTGCTACCCATGTTGGAGAGACAACATTGGTTGCCGAGAGATACAGAAACAGATGAGTCATGAGAGTTGTTAGCTCTACTGAGGTATAAAATTAACCTGCTAACGCCCACATACCAGCGTATCCCCCTTAATTCCAATAAATGGCTTGCTCTGTGCCATATATTTTTCAAAGGCCACGGAAATAAATAACTTAATAGGAGATAATCTTGGCATTTAAACAATGGACTTTTCTGGTCTAGTCAAGTATGTACAAGACTCACCCATATGACTGCCCACAGTGCTGTGAACTTGTGCATCTTCTTTGACTACAGTACTGGAGTTTGTGTAGAGACCATGACTGTTTATCAATACTTGATTTTCTTCGAAAGGAAAACTTGGTGTTTTCCACTACCAAAAAAAAAGGTTTTTGAGAAGCAAATCAGTCTAATTGTAAACAGCACAGAAGTCCCCAGAAAGGAGATATCCTTCTCACAATATTTTGGTGAAAATCTTCTGAAAGATTCATGAATCACATCTAAACAAACCTCTTTATATAAATTTGCTACTTTGCAATGAACTTCCTGTAAACTATTTTCACTCCTTTACTGACCTCAATGCTAAAACATGACAATACATGAATGAAAAGAGTGGCCTTTAATAACTGCTAAAATTATAATTGTGACTGCAGCAGCAATGAAATGTCAGGTTATGGCCTAGCATATTGTATCCTGTACTATCCAATTCTGGGCAGTACTACTGGAGTACAAGGGCAAGGAAAGTAACCAGTGGGCCATTCTCCAGATTGCGACCACAAACGAGGTTTTCCACACTCAGTCAATGAAAATGATAACCATTTTATTCTCACCCATGGCAAAAACAAAGAGTGTTAATTTGACATTTGCTGAACACTTGTTCTCTTTGGGGCACAGCTCTTTTGCTGATAAGTCATTGTTTACTTTAAAAGATATAAATATCGAGTTTGTGGTGCATACTCTGACTTTCGAACTGTGCCCTGCATTCGTTTATAACAGCAAATGTATTCTTTTTGCTGAATTTGGAATACTGATAGATCCCTAAATTTATTGGAACTACCTCACTGCATACTGCACAGTGATCGGCAATGCCAAGCTGTAATAGATTAGTGATCTTTACATTTATAAATGAATAAAAATGGTTTAGGTTGGCAACTAGTTTAGAAAGCAACATTGTTCGCACACACAGTTAGAATAGTATGAAAAAAAGTTGTGGTGCCATAAGATTGTGCCGAGATTGGTTTCCAGACAAACCACTAATTCTATGCAGTCATACAACAGAATAACTATCCATCTGTTCACCTTGGCTGGTTTACTTGTTTCTTCCTTTTCCACTTTTGATTTCTTTCCTGTGAAAAAAGATTTTATATTTCAGAATGAAAATAGTCAGTGACTGGAATGGGCAGCTCTGAACATGAGCTAATCCTTGAAAAAGGTTTGGCTAGAGAGAAATATTCAGGTAAAATACATATATGCATATATTTAGCCTTTGCAACAGTCATCCATTGTACAGTGCAGGATTATGGAAAATACTCTCTTATGGAAGTTTTTTTAAGTTGTAAAACAAAGTACAGATAATGTCAGGTTTTGTACAAGTCCGAAGTACTACTCAAAGCAGCATATGGTTGGTAGTCAATAGCAAAGGTCAGAGGTCAAACATGAAGGCTATTCTGCAATTCCAAGATTCTGTCCCAATTCATGGAATGAAACCTATTTCCATTGACAGAGATTTCAACCCAAATTTTGAATGCAGAAATGAACACAAAATACAGCTAACGGCAGACCAGCCTTGAACAGTGACAGCAGATCTAAATATCATTACCAGATTAAAGTCATTCGAAAACTAAAAATTCATTGTCAAAACTAATGCAAATGGGTACAATTTAAACATGTGGGTGAAGGTTAAGGTTTTGTGTGATAATCAAAGAACAGGAATATAACTAGAGTCATTAGGACACTGAAAGAGGCCATTCAGTCCATCTAAACAAATTTGTATAATTAAAATACTTACGTACAATTAAATGCCTGGATATGACTAAACACCATGGCTACAATCAGAAACACACGCCAGAAACTGAGAGGATTTCCCATATATGAACAGGCTGCGACTAAAAGCTGTTGATTCATCATTGTGACAAAGGAAGGTTCACAAATGTCTGGGAGCAATAGTTATAAAAGTATATCATTGTTAAGATTTAAATAACTCTAAACACTCCTGTGCTCCTGGACCAATGCAATGGAATGTGACCAGTCAGGCTTGAACAAAGGAGCTGTGCTGTGGAGCGATACCATCAATTATATGAGCAATATGGAAAATTTCATCCTGTTTATATAAAAGTTGTAAGACAAACAAAGGCCAGGATCCATCTAGTTTGCCTTCTTCCAACCTGCATCATGTGGTGCAAGATAATGGAGTTGCTAACTAATTATACCAATCAATATCCTTCGTTTAGTCTACCACAAACCCAGACATGAGGTGAAGAAAACTCCCACTGGTGAAAAAGCTGAGACAGCATGGGTCTAAATTCAAATGTTCCTCCAGATTGCGTGTTACACTAACCATAGGCCATGTCTCAAATTATTCATTCGATATTCCAAAATTGGGAAAGCAACTAACCTAACCAGCACATGAATGAACTAACACTGTTTCCATTATTTCCCAGGGAATTTTATCCATAGGTTTATGATTCACTGAAATAATGGATTGGAACGTTAAACCCAAAAATGGATGAGTTGGTGTCAGTGGTTCAGACTCAACAAGTCTGAAACAAGAACCCGATTTTCTTTCTTCCATCTAAGCAAGGGACAGCCAAACAAATATGCTCATGCTTGTTGTTTGATCCTGTAAATAATATCACAAAGCTGCCGGTTTTCATTTTAAGAAGCATTTTGTTGTTCCACTTTATTTCTGTTTTCAATCCCAGGTCTCGAGAATCCCAGCAGCTAAAAGAAGGCAGGAAGGGTGGAATCCAGGAGGTAAGGGTTTATGTGCTGCTTTCTCCCTGCCCAACAAACTGTTCCCCTTGCCAACATGAGACCCTTGACCTACTCCAAACCTTTCCACCCTGGTGTTAAAAGCTGCAGGACTTTTGGGAAACTCATCCTCTGAAAAACTGCACTGGTATAATCTTTTAACTTGCTTTTTCCAAGGAGGATATGTCTAATTTCCACAATCGTTCATCATAATCCAACCTCTGCATTTTGGCAATCATCTGATTATTTCCTTTCTTTTAATAATTGCAATATGTTTTTAGTAGAGCAGTGACTATAACTATGCATAATGTTGCAAGTATAATTTATATATTAACTGGCATATTGTTTTATTATTCTGGCTCAAAATTAACCTTTAATAAACTCAACATCTGAATTGCACTATGCATTTTTCTATATTGAATTGTGTCTGCCAAATTTTTGCTAAGATTATTGGCAGAAGGAATTTCAGGATTCTCTTCCAACACCACCACTACCCTGCCACATGCCAAACTTTCCCCAACACTATTTGGACTGAGTTACCAGCAAAGGTCATTGAGGTGGATAGCATAAATAAATTCAAGAAGAAAATTAGGTGTCTTTCAGGAGAAGGAACTGAAAGACATAATGGGAGGCAAGCGGACACTGCTAATCATTGAATCCGAGATGGGCTAAGTTAGACTGGCGCATTTCCTCACATTACTGACTAACAATATTACTGGCTAACAATAAGGATCAAGTCTCCTAGGTGTAATTAATGTCATAGTTCAGATGATAGACTTAAACCATTAATTATCAGACTCATTGTTGATAATGTCATCTGAATCCCTTGATTGAATCATGATTTTATGACAACTCTATCATCTATTATACATTCTATAGATTGTTTTGAAAACATAGTGTTCATCAAGTACCTTTTTTATTTGGTTTTTCAGTGGCTGGTAGCATTCTGTACACCCTGTATGCATTACTCCCCTTTTTGATACTTTTGTCCTTTACTTCTTCTATGTCGGGTAATGAGTTCATGGCACAGCGGAAATTGGCCTTCCATGTCTTAGGGTCAGGTTTGTCTACACCATGATGGTATTTTCCTGTCAGTATAAAGAAATAACAAACAAGGGAACAGCCCTTTAGCACTTACAAAGTAGTTGTTAAGGTTTATTGTGGACATATCATTCAAGCCCTATTAATTAAAATTAAACATATATTAAATAGTAAAAGCCGAAAGAACGGCAGATGCTGTAGCATCTATATTAAATAGTCTTATATGACATACCTAAACCAGGACTGTGCACAATACAAATGCACAAGATACATGTAATACATTCATCGTATTGTGAATTTAATGAAGCTATTAACTCACTTAATGGTCACCACTTCTATTAAAATAGTGATGAAGCATTTGACACAAGCATGTCATAATTATTTTCTATTCATATGAAAATAATTAATTTCAAGGTTACTATCTTTAAAACTCACTAGTGTTTTCTTCTGAACCCATTATATTTGCATACACATTTCTTTGGAAAATTCACCCAAATGTTCTAATTTCTTTCTGATTTTCAAAAAAGCATGCTAATAGGCATCAGCTCATACAGTGTCAGCACCTAACCCCTACCTTGGAACATCTCACACTCAAGTGCCAGGCTGCGCTTTTCTTTAAAACACTTTTTTTAAAGATCATATTGGCCTTGGGTTTTAAAAATACAGACATGGAGTACAAAAGCAAGGAGGTTGTAGAGAACCGTCATAAATCCCTGGTTTGGTCTCACTTGGAGTTTTGTATTCAATTCTAGACAATACATTTCAAGAAGGATATATGCAGTAAAGATTTATGAGAATGTTCTCAGAGATGAGGGACTTCAGTTACACAAACAGGTAGGAAAAATTGGAGTTAATCTGCTTAAAGAGAATGTTGAGAGGAGATTTGGCATGCAGAATCATGAGGACGTCAACACAGGAAACAGGCAGAAAGAGTCAGGAATCAGAGGGCTCTGATAGAAGATGAGTGGCAAAGGGAGCAACAGCGATGCGAGCATATGAGCATATAATAAGGAACATGAGTAGGCCACTCGATCCTTCAAGCCAATAAGAACATGGCTGATCTGAATTCAACCTCAACGATTCATTCTTGCGTTTCCCTGATAATCTTTCCTCCCTTTGGTAATCAAGAATCTATGTGCCTTTGTATTAAAAATATTTAATGATTCTGCATCCACTGCCTTTTGAGGAACGGAGTCCCTCTGACAGGGAAAAAAAAGAACTTTTCTTTTTACGTATTGTGTGATTAGATCTGGAATATACTGCCTGAGGGTGGAGTGGAAGCAAATTCAATCGTGGCTCTCAAGATGCAACAGGAAAGGAATCTGAATAGAAATATACTGCAGGGCTATGGCGAAAGGGCAGGGGAGTGGGACTAGGTGAGTTGCCCTAATTGAGAGCCAAACACTGAGCTCTCAGGCTAGGTAGCTTCTTTCTCCACAGTAATCAGCCTATGTTTCAACGGTTTTGAGAGTTTGTACATTTCAACCAATGCTTTTATTTACAATCATTCACAGGACATGGGGCTCACTGGCTAGGCCAGCATTTACTGATTCTGTAATTGCTATTGTGTCTTAGGAGTCTGTTAGATATTATTTATCTGAGTTTCTCCAATAGTTTTTCTCCGCTGATACTAATTAACTTTCTCATTCACATGGTTTGACCAGTTTGACCACTAATCGACCGTCTAACTGGAGAAAGATGGCTGGTAGCTCTGAAAGCATTTTTTTTTGTTGAGAAAACAATTTCCAAAATATCAAAATAGAATTTATTTCAATGATATTAATTGATTATTCCCAACTTCTTTATGCTTTTAATTTTTGAATTTCTGGGTTCACTCTTATTTATCTACCTGTATGAACCGCCCAGTTTTTAAATAATGGGGCGTCCTTCTCTACATCCCATCCATGTCGAGCAGCATGCATCCAGGGAATCTGAAAAATCATCTTCTCCTAGAAAAGTAACACCACAATTAATTGAAGGCCAATATATGAACAACACAACCATTATTAAACATATTTTAAAAAATATAAATTCTCAGGATATTGGCATCTCTGGCACTTATTGTTCGTTTCCGGTTGCCATTGAGAAAGTGGTAGCTGGCCTCCTTCTTGAACTGTTGCAGTTTCTGTGATTCAGGTACTCCCACAATTCACCCCTCAGCCTCCGATGCTCCAAGGAAAATAGCCCCATCCTATTCAGCCTCTCCCTGTAGCTCAAACCGTCCAGCAATATCCTTGTAAAGGTAGTAGGAACTGCCGATGCTGGAGTCTGAGATAACAAGGTGTAGAGCTGGATGAACACAGCAGGCCAGGCAGCATCAGAGGAGCAGGAAAGCTGATGTTTCGGGTCCGGA